TTAAAATATTTCGATTTTAATATTGTTAACAAAAAATTATAATATTTAAAATTCAATTAATTTTTTTATATATACAAAAATTTATAATTATATTTAGATAATTAACAAATGATAAAAATAATTATTTAAAAAAACATTTTATAATTAACAAATTTCAAAACAAACTAAACAATTTTTAATAAATATCAACCAAAATATAAGAAACAGATTCATATAATCAGAATACTTTTGTTTTAAAATATAATTATAATAATTTAGCAATAACAAAACTTTATTAAGATGATTACTCTCAATATTAAATAAATATAACAATTTTAATTTTAATCATAATATTTGCTAAATACCTTTTTACTTCATCCCGAAAATTCTAAATAAGCAATTAAGCATTTGATTTGGCTTTCGCTTTACAAAATTCATATTTTGAACAGCACATAAACACTCAAATATAAAAAACAAAGGTAAGCAAACTAAACTTGAATAAAATATGTAATTAAGAAAAAAAGAATACAAATAAATATAAAAACTAATAGATTTACGACCCAAAAAAATACTAGCTTTCTGATTTTTAAACAGATAACATACAAGAATATTTTAAAAAATAAAAATTTGAAAATAAGTATTTTTTATATTATTATAAAGAAATTTATATTGATGATGATTTTTCAGATGATAACATTCTTTTGCTATTTATAAGTAAGAAAATGTATAAATGATTATAAGAATCAATGTAAATCATAAGATGAAATCGATAAATAACTAAAAAATACAAAATTGCGGTCTATTTTATAGAATAAATATAGATTCTTAAAATTTTAAAAACCTTTTTTAAATAACACAAGAAAGTTGCATTAGTATTCATTAAAAATATTATGCATTATATGATAAATATTTCTATTTATAGTGATTTTGGGCATATTTTTAAAGACTTAATTAGTTTTTTTTTACTAAGATAAATAGCTATTTAGCATGTGAAAGCGAGAGCTTCATAAATATTGTTTTAAGGTCTGAAAAGAGAAAAAAACGAGATAGTTGAGAAAATCTTAAAAATATAAGAATTTATGGCTAATATTAGATGCATTAATGAAGTTTTAATCATTGACTATTGTTTGTATTTTAATTAGTAAATGGAAAAATAAGTTAAAGAATGCTGGTAAAATTAAATAATAAAATAATATAGAATAGGCAAACTGAAATATGAGAAAAATAATATTATTAATTAATAAAAAAATTTAAAATAAATAAATCGAAAATTTTTTAAAAATAAAGGTGGTTGTGAGAAAAAAATTAAAAAAGAAAAAAAATGAATAATCGAAGTTTGATACAGTTGGACATTTAGATATTGAATATATAGTTAATAAAATTTTTGAAATAGATAAACTAAAAATAGTATTAGATAAAGATTAAATTAAATTATGTTTAGTTATTTACCTAAATAACTTTTCAAAAAAAATAAAGAATTAAATATAGTATTATCTTGAAAAAATAGTGAATAACTCCTAAAATAATATAATAAGAATTATCCAGAATTTGTATAATTAGAAAAAATTAAATATGCATACAAGGCCTTAAAAAGTCGCAAAAAAAAATTAAAATTGACTTAAAATTATTTGAAATTCTAGATATTTAATTCCTTATTTCACTAATAATTATGAGTATTACAAAATTATTAATTAATTATAATTAAATTTTAATAGTATTAATATCTATTTTAAAAACTTAATTAACATATTTTTATCCATAGTATTATTAAAAAAAATTATTTCAAATATATTATTTATTAAAAAAAGATTCTTATAACAAAGATATTTTTTCTAATAAAAATATTGCAAACAAATTTTATCAAAAAATGGTTTTTACAAATTATATAGAAAATTTATGTTAATAAGAAAAATATAATATATGTAATAAAGAAAACTATAATAAATATAATAAAGAAGAAAACTCATGTGAATAAGAAAGAAAAAAATATTTTAGATACTTTTAAATATATAATTATAAATATATTTAAGATATTTAGAGGAAATAAGAATAAAAAAATTACTGTATTTATAATAAGTAGATAAACTTGATAAAATATGTTTACATCTGGATTAAAAATGCTATACTAATTTTATTTATTATTATTATTTCTGTCTAATTAAAAAGAATAGATAATAACATAAAAAATAAAATTAATCGTAATTTATTTTTAAATACTTAAAAAAAAATTAAATTAAAATAAAATAAAAAATATAAATATAAATAAAATATAAATAAAAATAAAAATAAAGGGAAAATCAAAATATATTACTAAGCAAAAATAATTAAAAATTTTAAATACTATGTAAATAAAATAATTATATATTATATTATAATATACTAAGATATTTCTATTTAATTTTTTTTTAATTAGAAAATAAGTAAAAAATATACTAAAGATTTTTATAATATATTTATATATATTTTTTTAAACATTTTTCTAATATATAATAATAATACTAAACTTATTTTTTATATGTTTTTTAATTATGAAAGATTAGAATTTTTTAAATATTAATATTTTTTTAAGGAAATCAGTATTAATATTAATTATTAATGTTTTATTTTAATAAAGGAGATTATTAAATAAAAATAGGAATAAATACATATTAGTAGTTTGCTTAAAAATACTATGGTTATTATTATTAAACCTATTGTTATTAAGGTATTAATATATGAGATTAATTTTTAGATTAAATATTATTCATTTATTTATTTTCAGCATTTTTTTTTTAAATAATATTTTATTATAAAAATAATCTTTATTTTTTGTTAATAAATCTACCACCCTATGTAGTAAATATTTCAATATTTCTATTACTACCATTGGATTCAATAGATTTAATTTAACATTGAATTTATTATTAATTTTAGCTTTATTCAAATTTTCTAAACTTTTTTCTGTGTACATGAAGAATAGTTTTAGCAGAAGAATAATTTATTTTTAATTCTTATGCAGCCTAATATAATAAAAAATAAAAATTTAATTATATAAATATTTAATTTTTTACAATTTTTATTTTCTTGTTTTTGAAAAATACTTTTTCAATCAACTATTATCTTTTTACCGTAGATATTCTTTTGTATCTTCTTTTCTAATTAATATTTATACTGAATATCTTTTCATTTGATTAAATGAAAGTATTTTTTACAGAACTTTATTATTTCATTATAGTTTTAAATTTCTCTTCTTTTTACTTTAAGTTTTTTTTTTTTATTATGATTTTTTTTATTATATAGTAATGTTTTTTTAACATTGTAAACATTTTTATTATAAATAACCATTAAATTTATCTAATTTAAAATAATTAAAATAAATTTTGATGTAGTATATTTACATAAATTATAAAATTAATAGTAATATAAATTTATCTTTACTTTATTATATTTAATATAGTATATCTCGTTTTAAAAAGATTTTTTTTTATTTATATAAATATTTATTTAATATTAATCATTGCTACAATTCAAAAAATGAATAAATTAATGGTTTTTCTTTGTCTGAGAAAATATACAAATGCAAAAAAGAAAAAAAAAATATCAATTTAAATTGTAACTAATATAAAAATATAGTATAAATAAAATTATTTGTTTGTATAAAAATAAAAATTTAAATATAAATTTATATTTATATTTAAAATATCTAATAAAATAAATTTTTTATTTTTTCTTTGTATTTTATTATAATTTTTTTTAAATTCATCAAAAAAAAATATTGGCTGATATTTCATATTTTAATTATTTTAATTTATTTTTGGTCAATTTTAAAGTTTTTTAAATCAAATTAAAAATAAATCATTATAAAAATGTTATATAAAAAAATATTTTATTTAAGTATAGTATATTATTATAAATAATATGTTAATTATCAAAAAGATATTAATTCAAATGAAATTTTATACAAAAATATTTTTATTAAATTATTACTTTTATATTTAAACCTAATATAAAAACTATTATTAAAACAATATATATACATAATTTTTTATATATATAATTATAATTAAATATATGTATTTTTAATAAGTATGAATTAATATATTAATTTAAATTTTTACTAATTTAATATTAATTCTTAATTTAAATAATAAAATGGAAATAAATATATATGATGTATAATAATTTTTAATTTATAATATATATTGTCTTCTTAATATTTTTTTTGATTCATTAAATAAATTTATTGCTATTAATTATTATCATAAAAAATATAAATAATTTAAATTTCTTATTTTTTTTTATATTTTTTACATTAATATTATATTATATTATATTATATATATTTTTATTCTTTTTTTATACACTTAATTTTTAGTTTTTTTTATAATTATTCTTCTTTGTTTATTCTATAAATTAATAAAAAATAAAATAAAAAACTACAAAATATTTTATTTTCGTCATTTAAAAATAAATAAACAATCTAACTTTCCGCTATTTATTTAATTTTTATTTTTTAAGATTGAATGTTCAAAACAATTAAAATTTTGTTTTATAAAAAAGATATAATTATTTATATTAGGTTGGAGAAAAATAATTTAAATTAAAAAAAGTTAAATTAAATAATATATTTAATACATAAAAAATATTTAATTTGATTTATAATACAAATTAAGGCTAATAATTATTGTAAAAATAAATTATATATATATAAAAAAAAATATATTATTTAATAAAAAAAAAAATTTAAAAAATGATTAAATTAATAATATATTTTATTAAATTAATAATACAAAATCATATTTATCATATACATTATTTTAATAAAGTTTATTAAATAATAAATATGTATAAATAAAATCGTATAAAATTCATACTAAAATTATCAAACATTTATTTATTAAAATCCTTAAACATTGCTATCTTTTTTTTCTTAAATATAAGTAATTGTGTTTTTCCAATATAACTTTAATTATTAAGATTCTTCAGAATCATCTAAACTTCCAAAATTATCTTTAATTAAATTAATAATTTATTATATCTCATCATATTTAACCTTAAAAAATTTGTAAATTATAAAAATACTAAATTATATATACTTCGAAATGATTCCAAAACACGAAAAATCTATTAAGGATATATAAATAAACTCCAATATTTTTTGGGCTAGCTTTTAATAAAGTAGCAGCAATTTTTATTGATTTTTAAAAGCATTTCATTACTGAATCTTAATCTTTCTAAATAAAAAAATTAAAAAAAAAAACATATATTTTATTTTACAATTTAATCATTAAAAAATAAATGAGCACAATTCAAAATCGAAATAACTTAATCTTATTTTTTTAATAATTTAGAGGAATACTAAGTTGTATTAGTAGCCAAAGTATCATAATTTTCATCTCCTAAGCATGTAATATTAGATAAAGTACCTATAATAATCTACAAAGCTTAAAGCTTAATATCTGCATCACTTAGCTCATCTTGGAAAATAGTCAAAATTTAAGATGCTATTTCATATGTAAATTCATCCAACTTTTTATATATGTAATTTATATGCATATATAATATAAAATAAAATATTACTGATTTCTATTAATCAAACTAATTAATAATTGACAAAAACTACAAATATAGTTTCATAGCAAAAGTAGGATTTTCACTAACCAATGCATCTATGAGAATTTTCATAGTCTAAAAAATTGTTTAGAAATTAATTTATTCATCTACAAATCCTGAATCATATACGTAATGTGTATATTTTGCCAAAGCAAACATAATAGCTGGATAAGTGTATTTTTGCCTCTTAATTCCTCCCTGTTTAAATTTGTTTAAAAATAATTGCAATATTTTTAAATAATCAATTGCATTTTCTCCCAAAACTAAGTGAACCATTCTACTTACTAAATTTTATTCTTGCTCAAATTCATATTATTCTACTTCTTCATAGTCTTTACAACTTTCTAAAAGTGGATTTATGAATAAAATTAATTAGTTAGCTAAATTTATATCAGATATATGTTTTTTTGAATTAACAACAGCCTGTTTTTACCAATGAATAAATCAATATTAATAAAAATAATATAAATTTACTTAAGATATTTTAATAGCAACTTATCTTCTTTTCGAAAATGGTAGATATTTCATCAAATTCGGATACTCATCCATAGTTAAAATAAATAAAGACATAGTTTCTAACGGCATAGTTAAAAACTTAACAATATTTTTCAAACAATCATCTTAAAAATCCTATTCTTATTATCTTTCACAAATAATAGCGCATGTTTTAAGAATTTAATTAACATAATTTGAATTTGATTTGTAGCATTTTAATGAAAATTTCAAAAAAGCTGCCATTAAATCTAACACTTTTTTAAATTCTGTATTTTAAGATTTTTCAACCATCTAAAAAAACAAAATATAAAAATAAATATATATTTAATTTACACTATCAATATTATTTTTAAACATAACATAGATATTGTTATCTGAATAAAAAGTACTTTAAACTTCTTCATACCTAATCGCATATTCAGCTAATCTATCCATAAGATTAATAAAAATAGTCTTAGTATCTACTTTCACATCAAGTTAATTCGTACATACCTAAAGCATATCTTATAAAGTTTACAAATGGTATTCATCAGGAAAGCATTAAATAATACAATCAACCAAAAATTATTAAGAAATCGCATCTTTTGTAGAAGTCACAATTTCTATTAATTTTGGTAAAACAGTTGATTTGTAAAGTTCTAAATTGACTCCTTCTAAAGAACTTAGTCTATGCAAATTTTCACCTACTGTGAGTTTTAAATCGATTCTTTCTTATTCTCTTTTCGGTTTACCTTTGGATTTACCGCTCATTCTTATCCATAATTTATTCATTTCTCCTAAATTTCTCGTTATTACATTTATGCAATCATGAATATCTCCGCCGTCTCTATATATTTAAAAAAAATTAAAAAAAATAATATTAATAATAAATATATTACCCACAATATTCCGAATCTTTATCAGGTAATCTATCTTTGCACATTTTAAGGAAATAATATCTTAAAAATAGCCCTCTAGTTGGATGTTATACAGCCTTTATCATTTCTAAAAGGTCCATAAGAATTTCTTTAGCCCCGACCTCATGTGTTTATATATATACGGAACCTACTGTAATCAAAAGATATAGCCTAGGAATTAACTTTTTACAATGTTAAACTTGCTCATATAAATAAATCATTTTGCGACCTCTGCGGTAGTCTTCTTTGAAGTATTATTCCAATAGACGTAATTCATCAAATATTTGCATAAAAAGTATATAATAATTTTTAGGATTTAATGATTAATGATCTTTTACGCCTAGTTCTTCCAACATGATTGCACTATGTCGCAAACCTTCCTTTAGATTTACCTGTTCTAAACCTTTTTTCATAAAATATGATTATTCTTTTACTTTTTGACGAGCTTAGTCTAAAAATTTTTCTTATTCTACGTCTTCCATTATAAGTTTTATTTTATTATTAATATAAAATTATTTTTTTTAATTTTATAATATTTAACTAATTATATAAAATATATATATTTAATATATATAATTATTAAATATATTTATATATATATAAATATAATTTAAATTATTATAATATCTTTTAATAATGTTATTTTTTTTTATAAAAATTATAATAAAAGTTTTTTTCTTTAATTATGTTAAATATATATTGACTTATATTTTAAAAAATTTAAAATAATTATTAAATCAATAATAAATGCAAAATATTTTTTTAAATACTTATTAATATAAGTATTTATTTATCTTTTTATAAATTTTATTTAATAATTAATTTTTTTTTAATATTAAATTAATTACAAATAATATAATTTTTTTTATTTTTAATAAATATTTTTTTTATTAAAAATATCAATTATATTTTATTATTTATTATTATTTTTAATTTATTTTATTTATTAATAAATATATATCAAAGTTATTTTTTGCATTGTATTTAATTTCTTAAATTTTAATTTATTAATATTATATACTATAATAATTATTAAATATTTAAATTTTAATTATTACACATAATATAAATTGTGATAAAAATTCTTTATATTTTATATTTTCTAATTATTATTTTTTAAAAAATAATAATTACTAATTTTTAATAAAAATATAAACAAAAAAATTTAATATAATTTCTTATTTAAATATAAAAAAAATATTAATCTAAAATATTTAATATATATAAAATATTTATTGGCAAACCCACATCTTTTTAAAAATAAAATAACGAAAAAAAATATTGAAATGACAAGAAAAGAAAATAAACAAATTACAGAATAATAAACAAATTATTATGAAAATTTTATTAAGTTTATTAAAGTATAACCAACTGCCAAATATGATTTTCCGTAGTTGAAATAGTTATAATAAATCATTTAATTCGTTAACAATATAAAATCGATTAATTTAAGCAAAATTATAATATTAATTAAAATTAATAATATATTAAATAAAACATGACTATCTTATATATAATGTGCCCATGTATTATGAATTTTTATGATTATTAAAAAACAGAAATTAATTCATATATAAAAAAAAAGAAATATTAGTAAAAAAAAATATAAAAATACAAGGTTTATTTTTTTGCAAGAATAATGCCTAAAATATATCTCATTTATAACCAAGGCTTTATGTTTAGACTTTTTTAAAACAAATAGAAGAAGCCATAGTAAATGTTAGCCAAAATAAACATCTTTCGTTATGATTTAAAATTAGCTAACACATCCTCTTAAAAAACGGCTAATTAAAAATCACCAAATTTGAATTTGCAAAGGAACTTAATAACCTAGATTCTTGCTAAAAATCCCATACTTTTATTGGATTGGCAATATTTATGTTTCCATAGGCTCTTGAAGGAAATCCTTCTTATGATTTGAAAAAAAGAAAAATTCAATCAGTTGGTGTTTGTCTTTATTATATATTATTTTAAGAATATTATGTTATTTATATTAACATATATATAAAAGGCTTAAATACTTAAAAATAAAATTCCCAATTAATAAATTTATAATATCTAAATTTGTTTATGATTTAATTTTAAATATCATAGAAAATATATATGGGAATAAATCACAAACTATAAATGCTTAAATTAATAAAGCAATAAATTCAATTCAAACTGTTAAAAAATAGTATCAAAATTAACCAAATTGTCCAGCTTAAGCAGTTTTAATCCGAATTTAAAAGACTTAGAAGAGTACAAAAACAAAAAAAGCCAAATGCACAAACTAATTAGCCTTAAGCAATAATAAATGGCCCTATAATGGCTTAAAATCTAAAAAACGTAAACAATATATATTATATATTGACAAAATAGTGTTTTTTATAGATAAATGTGAAAAGAATTATACTCTTTATAATTTAGCTTACAACCATAATTAAAACTGGACTAAAATTCAATAAGACAGTGAATTTAATGATTGCCTCATTAATAGAGGAAGAAAACTAAAATATTTACTGTACTAAATCAAAGAATTTTATTTGAAAAAAAGTAAGAAATTAAACAACTAAATTAACTTAGAAAAATATTACAATAGTGAATAATTTCTTGTTTTTTAAAAAAACTTACAAAGAAGATATTTAAATGAAAAAAAAATATGAATATGACGTTTTTTCGAATTTTTATCAAATAATTTAAAATATTTAAGATTTTCATAAAAATAAATAAATAAAAATGCAATAATTATATATAATTATCTTTTAAAATTTTCATTTTGGAATTAATAGATGAATTAGTATAATATGCTGACAATTAAAATGATAATTATCTATTTTTTTTACTTGAAATATTTGCCTTTTTAAAATAATTAAAAAATAGAATTTTAGGAATATATTCTTCTCATAATTTATAAAAGATTTATATAAAATTTGGAGTATTTTAGCTTTCTTAAGAAACCTTAGTTTGGGTTATGATAATAGGGAAAATTTTGTTAAAATAAATTAAAAAAATAATTAGAAAATAATTTCGATTGAATTTTAATTATTTTTATGATTTAAAAATTATTTATATAATAAAATTTTATTTAAAAATTTGTAATATATATAAATATCTTTTTTTTTTTTTTTCATAGAAAGGATTAAAATAATAAATATATAAAATTATTATAAAATAAAATTATTAACAAAAAAGCCTTTATATTATAATTATTTATTCTATAAAAAAAAAAAAAAAAAAAATGGAAAGAGATCTTTTAAACCCTCATTACGAATAAGAAAAATAAAAAAATAAATTTAAAAGAATTATTCAAACTCCGAATTCATATTTCATGGATATTAAATGTATGAACTGCTAAAGCGTTTAAATGATTTTTTCACATGCATAATCAACTATTCTTTGTGAAAAGTATATTCATTTTTTTTATTAATATATATATATATTATAATATAAATAGATGCTCTGCAATTTTATGTAAACCAAGTGGGGGTAAAGCTTAAATTACTCCTGGATGTGCATTCAAAGTTAAAAATTGAAAAAAAAAAAGTAGTTGTTTTTTATTTTAAAAGAGATAAAAAAAGCAATAGAGTGATAATAATATTTAATAAATAAGTTTTGTATATGTATTATTATTATTTTTATTAAAGATTTATTTAAACTTTCTTCTAAATAATAATATATACTAATAATATTTTGAATTTTTTATATCAATAAATAAAATAATATATATTTATTTTTATATTTAAAAATGAATTCATATACATAATATTGTTTATTTATTTATTTTAAAAAGATAATAAACTTAAAAAAATAATAAATAATATCTTAATATAAAAAAAAAATTAAAATTTTAAATTACAGGTATTAGCAAAAAGCTATTAAAAAAATCTATAAATATAATAACTAAACTCTCCCTCCCATATTTAAATAATAAAAAAACCCTTAAAATTTCTATTTTTAAATTCTATCGAAAAAAATAAAGAAAATCCATTAATAAATTACCCAAACAATAAACAAACTTTATCTACATTTACATACTAAAATATTTATAAATATAAAAAAACTTTGGTATATAAATAATTTAAAAAGAATTTCGAAGATTTTCCAAATAGTTAGTATTTTAAGTAAAAATAAAACTGATTTCTATTTTTTGGAATTTGCTTTTTTTATATAAAAAGGCTTTTTGTACTTATTCCTGAAAATATAACTAGAACTGAATTCGAAAAATTAAATATAAACCTGCATTTGATTATTTCAAATAAGAACTTACTTAGAATAAAACTTAAATCTTTTATTGTGTATGGAAATATTTTAAATGAATAATTTTAAGAAGTCCTATAGATAATTTTTTTCCATTCCTTTATATTTGTTAAAAATATAAATTATTAAGTAGTATGATTTATGTCTGTGTAAATAGATTAGGATGTAAATATAGAATTCAATATTAAAGAAATGTGTCTAAAAAAAAAATATCTAACTTATTTTTAAAAATATATATCTAATCAAGTAATAAATGGGGGGGCTCAAATATTTTTAATAAATGCTTTATTTTTATCCTTAGTTTTAAAGGAATAATTAAAAGAAATGTCTACCAAAATTATTTTAAGGATATAATATTAAAAGATTTTATTAATGAATTTTTATTATATGTGTATCACTAATATGTATTATAAATTTGTTTATTTAAATATTTTTTATTTTTTTTAAATATAAAATAAATAATGAAATGATTAATATATTAATGCATCTATTAACTTGATTTTATATTTTATATATATTTTTTTAAAAAAAAATATAATCAAATAAACAAAAAAAGCCAGAAATAATATGTAAACGCCTTTTTTTATTGATTGAATATATAAAAAAAATTAGAGAAAAATAAAAAAATCTGAATAAGTAGTATATATATTTAAAAATACTTATTAATGTGTTTAAATAAATAAATTATTAATTAAAATTTTATTTATCAATATTCACAATATCATATATAAAAAGTAAATGAGGACTTAAAAATAAGAATCAAATAAAATTACTGTATATTTAAACAATAGATTATAAAATCAATAAAATTCATTATATTTTACAAACGAAATCCGTACATCGAAATACACATGGTGGAATTTCGCCCCAAAATCATTAATTCTATAATTTATGCGAGCAGCGAACCTTTATTTTTTATCAGCAACTATAGTCTAATGTATAAATATAATTTCTCCATTATCTCCTTTTTCAGCTATAGGTCCTTTAGTTTTAGTTTTATGTGTATCTTTATCAAGAGAAGCAATTGAAGATTATGTATTTTTTTTTTTTTCAAAAATAATGTTTTTTTTATAAAAAAATCTAGAAAAGGCATAGAAATGATGATATTGTGAATGACTAAATATGTTATGTTTTTAACAATAAAAACTTTGTTTCTATTAAGTGGAAAGATATTTAAATTGGAGATATAATAAAAATTAATAATGGATAAGTAAAGCATTTTTTTTCATAAAAATTAATTAAAAAAATATAGATTATACCTTCAGACATACTATTAATTACTTCAAGTGATGAGAATGGAATTGCGTTTGTAGAAACATCAAATTTAGATGGGTATATTTTGTATATATTTATATATACTAATTTTATATTTTTAAAGGGAAAATAATTTAAAATCAAAATATTCTTTAGAATAAATAAATAAATTTGGTAGAGAATATCCTTTAATAGATTTTAAAGGACATTTAGTTTGCGAAAAACCAAATAATAGAGTACATAACTTCAAAGGAATTATTTATATTGACGAAAATTAATCTCATCCTTTAATTTTAAATAATAACAATATTTTGTTAAGTGTATTTTTTTTTAAAGAAGAAATAACAAAATAAATTAAAGGGTTGTACACTTAAAAATACAGAATGGGTAGTAGGAATGGTTGTATATAGTGGTATGAATACAAAAATAATGTAGAATCAAGGGTATATTTATATATTATATATACTGTTAATTTATTTTTTTATAAAAAAATAAATAAAAGTTAGGTAAAATAAAAAGTAACAGATGTTGAAAAAATTTTAAATAATATAATTATTATCACATTTATAATCTAAACGATTTTATGTTTAATTTCTTCTATACTATCAGTTAGTTTTTATGTAAAAAAATAAATAAATAAATAAAAATAAAACCTAAAAAATAATTAAAGAAATAAAAAAACATAAAATATGATAATAAAGAAGATCACTATTATTTATATTATGAATCAAGTAATGATTAAAAATATATATTATTTGACCCTGAAGTATAAGGAATTTTGATTTATTTCACTTATTTTTTACTTTTAAATTCTCTAATTCCAATATCATTAATTATTTCTTTAGAAGTTGTAAAAGTAATATAAGCTACCACAATAGAATTTGATTCTGAAATGGTTTATTATAATGAAGGTATTAAATATCCTATTAAAGTAATAAATACATTAATCCATGAAGATTTGGGAAAAATAGAATATATTTTTACTGATAAAGTAAAATAAAAAAATAAATAAAAATAAATATTATAAAATAGACAGGAACACTTACATGTAATAATATGATTTTTAAATATGCTATTATAGGAAGAAATGAGCATTCTGATAGCGAATTAAAAAGTCTTTTTTCAAAAATAGATGAATCTGATTAATTTCATAATGGAGAAGAATATAAGGAATTTTATGATTTTTGGTTATGTATTATTTTATGTCATGATGTAGTGGTAGAAGAAAAATAAGAAAAAATATAATTTTAAGGCTCTTCTCCTGATGAAGTTTGCTTAGTTGAGGCTGCAGCTAAGTATAATTTTAAATTTTTGAAAAGAACTTCAAATTAGATTTTTATAAAAGTCGGAGGAGAAGTTTTGACTTATAAGTTATTATAGAAAATCGATTTTACAAGTGAAAGAAAAAGAATGAGTATTATAATTTAGGTAAACTTTTATATACCCTTATATATACTTATAGTTTATTTTTAATATAGGGAATTAATGATGATAAAATAATAATTTATACAAAAGGAGCTGATTCTTTTTTAATGTAAAACTTAAGTAATTTTACAAGTTAAGAATAGATATAAATAGTTTAATAAAGTTTACAAAAATATTCTTAAAAAGTAAATTTATAATATATAAAAAAAAAAAATTAAACTAAAAAAATATTTGTAAAAAGTCATACTTTTAAAATAAAATATTTAAAAGGGTTTAAGAACATTGTGTCTTGGAAAAAAAGAAATTCCTCAAAAAGTATATGAAGACTGGCTTTAATAATACAATCGTCTTCAAACAAATATCGAAACTGGAAATTTACAAAACGATACCAATTAATAAAAACTCCAGGAAGTATTTTTTTTGTTATAACAAAAATAAAGAAATAATAAAAGCTTGAAAATTAAATAGAAAATGGATTCGAATTATTAGGTGCTACAGCTGTAGAAGATAAACTATAAGATGGGGTACCTTAAACATTATAGAAATTACATCAAGCTAATATAAAAGTGTGGATGTTGACAGGAGATAAATTAGAAACATCTGAAAATATTGGATATTTATGTAATTTATTAACTAAATAGACTAAAGTGTTTAAAATTTAGATAGAAAATACTTCGTTTATATTGTATTTGAATAATTTTATATATTTAAATATATTTATTATATAAAAATAAAAAATAATATTTTTTGTAAGAAATAAATTGTTAAAAATAAAAGAAAAAATCAGCCAAATAAAATTAAACAATTAAATGAAAGACATTGAAACTGACTAAAAAATTCTCAATAGTAAAAAACCATCCAAAAACTATAGAAAATTCGCTATAATAATTCAAGGAGATGCGATTTCCTTCATATTCTCAAACTAAAACTCTAAATAAGAATTCCTAAATTTAATCCAAGAATGTCATACGGTAATATGCTGTAGATCTACCCCAACATAAAAAGCCTTAATAGTTAAATTCATTAAAATAAACCTAAGAAAAACTGTTCTAGCAATTGGAGATGGTGGAAATGATGTTAATATGATACAAGAAGCTGATATAGGAGTAGGTAAAAAAAAATCCAATAAATATTACAAAAAAAAATGTGAAAAATAGGAATAATAGGAAAAGAAGGAAATTAAGCAGCTTTAAGTAGTGATTATTATTTCGGTTAATTCCGTTTTTTATAGCGTCTTTTATTTGTACATGGTAGATGGAATTTATTAAGGACATCATATTTCTTGAACTATTTTATATTTAAAAACATTGTTTTTACCCTCTAGTAGTTTTTTTTTGGCTTTTATTCAGGCTTTTCCGGCTAAACCTTCTGGGAAGATGGTTATTTATTAAACTTTAATAGCATAATAACGGCCATAGCCCCTGTATACTTCGCTTCATTTGAGTAAGATGTTAATTCTTACGAATCTGAACACATTTAAGGCCTATTACCTAAATTATACAAACGCCAAAAAACTAAAAAAGCCTTTTCTTATAAAACATTTTTAGTTTGGTTTTCTATGGGAGTAGTTTTATCGGTCTTCACTTTTTTTTTTGTTCTATATTCCTACTAAAACTTCTCTATAAACATAAACGGGAAAAACGATGGTATTTGGTAGCTTTCTATTTCATGTTTTTTCTGCACAGTAGGTGTAGTTTGGGCTGTTAATTTTTTAGATACGAAATATTGGACTCCATTGACTTTTATAGCCTATATCTTAGGCACTGTGGTCCTTTTTTTCCCTTCTTTTGCATATGTTTGGGATTAATTTGAGGGTCCTTTGTAGCTTTATTTGAATGATTTTATTGGAAATTTTAAGTTTTGGCTTGTTTATGGTTTAGTTGTGGGGAGTGTGTGTATTGGGAGATAGTTTTAGAAGTGTTTTTCTTATATTTTTTAAAAAGAGTTAATTCATTAATTAGAGTATCATAGAAAAAATATGAATTTGAGAATCTTCGATAAAAAAATTGATAAAAATCTATTCATTTTATCAAAAGAAAATATAAATATTAAATAATAATAATTTTAATAATAAAATTTTAATTTAGGTATTGCTTCTTTATAAAGGAATAATAATTAATAATATGTAAAAAACGAGTCGATTATAATGCAATCTATTCCTTAGTTTTAAATTTAAGGATAGGATTTAAATAAGGAAAAACAACTTAAGAAAATAAAAAAATAAAAGTCTAGTGATTATTTTAAGAAATAAAATATTTAAAATAATAATTAAATTAGATTTAAAAAAATAAAAAATAAAAATGAAGATTTAAATAATGTTGATGAATTCAATTAAATTGAAAAGTAAAAGATTTTCAAAATTAACTCTTTACCAAATGGAAAAGATAAGAAATTTAGTGTACAGGATTTAGATTAGTAACATAATTAAAATTAGTATTACGCTTATAAGTCAGATATTTTAACTAATAATAAGAAATATGAAAATTAAATAAGTAATTATGCCAAAAATTAATATACAAATTAATAATAATAAATTATTAATAATTTTATTGATAATAGTAGTGAATTAAATAATATTAAATAATAATTAAATAATCCGCAATAAGAAATTAATAAAATTTTAAACTTTTGATAATAATATAATAAAATATTAAACAAGCATAAATTTTTACATATAATTTTATTTAAAAAAATATATAAATAGAATATAAATTAAAAAGATATTTATTTAAAATAAAATAATAATTTTTTATATAAAATTATTTATAATATAATATATATTTTTTGTCTATTTAATTAAAATTAGATTAAAATAAAAATTAAAATTAAAACATGTCACATGTCACATTCATTATTCAATTAATTATTTATAAGGAGTTTCCAAAATAGACTTAATCATATTAATAAATCCAGTTTTTTTATGAAAACTAAGATTTTCATAAACAGAATCCTTCATTAAAATATTATGAGCTTCTTCATATGCCCAAGAAAGCATTCTTGGGAAAAGATGGTGGACTAAATGGTAGCTTTCCCAATGGATACCAATAAAGAAATTAAAAAAAGGAGAAATAATTCTATTTTTAGTTTTATAAACATTACTAAGTTCAATATGAGGCATATCAAAAACTGTATAATCAAGTAATGGATAATGCTCTATAAGCTCAATAAAACTTCCAAACCAATTTGTAGAAGTCAAAAAAGGGACAATCCAATAAAAAATGACGAATTTCCATATTTTAAATTTTTAGAAAATTACGCACAAAAAAAAATAGTAAATTATTCTTTAAAAGATTCCTTTTTATCTTCATTTTTCTATAATATTCTATGCCTAATAAGATATTTTAAATACCTAAAAGTATATTTAGGCGAAATAATTTAAATCATATAATTTATAACAACTTTTCTTTATTCTTATTTGTTCTTATTGTATAACTTGAGTTTAGAAAGTTCTTATAAATCAGGATCTTTGTTTACATTTCCTAAATTCAGGATGATGATTTTCACAATGAGAAACTCTATATCCAGTCCAAGTCTACATTATTAAATAAGCTGAAAAATAAGTACCTAATATATAGTTTAAAAGAGGATTTCGTGCAAGGCATTCATGTGAAGATTAATGTAAAATATTAGTTATTCCTCTTTATCTAGCCCCTATTATGATAAGGCTAATAAAGTAGACAAATAAAAACATTTTAAATGTAAAATTATAATAAAAGTATTCAGATACGATAATAGAAATTAAAACATACAAATAATCTTCAAGAATTTAAAGAAGTCCAGAATAGTTGTTCATATTTTATTTTCTTAAGTTTTCTATTTTTTAAAGTATTTATTCACCAAATTAATGATTTTTATAAATATTTGCCATTTATTTTAATTAAATTAATTTTTTTACTTATTTTTTGATTATTTATAAATTTATAAATAAATAATACTAATATAATAAAATTATAAATTTATCAATATCGCTTCAAAGATTTTTTATAATAAATATAAGTTTATATAAAATTATATTTTTCTATTTTATTAAAAAAATAAATTTGATAATTTTATTTTATCAGATAATTATTCAAAATAAAAAAAATCAAATTTATTAAAATAAATCTAATTTTTTTTTATGTAAAGCATTTAAATACCTAACTTATATCTATTAGACTCTTAAAAATACACTCATATTGTAGAAATAATCCAAATAGTACATGAAAATGACAAAACACTACTTCTTTTCGATCAAACAATTTTCCATCCTTAAGGAGGAGGATAACCTGCCGATAAAGGATACTTGAAAACTCTTACGGGTGTGCAAATATAAGTCTAAAATCTAATATTTGAACGAGAAAAAAACTAAACCTGGCACGAAATATCCTAAATCCCAATTTATAAATAGGATAAAAACTAGAATTACAAATAGATCATATTTTTAGAATATAGTGTGCGCAATTACATTCCGGAGACACTTAATGGACTCGGTAATTAGAAATATAGGATTAAATTGGATTTCTGAAAAAGCTTATCATTTCAAAGATTCTCCTTATGTAGAATAATCATTCTAAAAATTGGAAGAGAACATAAAAGATTTACAAGAAAAGCTACAAAAAGAAATAAATAGAATAATCACTAATACTCCTTAAGAAGATACTGTTAGTATATAATTCTACACATATGAACAAGCTGTTAAAAATAATCTTAATATTCCGTCTTATATACCTAAAAATATCAATATTAGGTGGATTAAATTGGGTTCATTTGATGAAGGAGGTCCTTGTGGAGGTACTCATGTAAAACATGTTAGAGATATTGGCTTTGTTTAAATTAAAGAGCTTAAGAAAAAGGAAAAAAATTCGAGTTTTGTATTCTTTACCTTTATAGGATGAAAATTAATAAAAAGAGAAGAATAAATTCCAAATTTTGTATTAGATAATAAAAACTTAAAAAATGTAAAGGAAAACTAAAAATAAAATTATCAAGAAAAAAAATAAGAATAAAATAATTAATTTAAAAATAAAAACAACAATTAATAAGGTCAGATTGTTTATTTCGAAAATCGATAAAAATAAATATAAAAATTTTTAGAAGAAAAAACCATTAATCCTTATCCTCATTCATTTTAAATTTCTCATACTATTATTTAGTTTGTAAAAGAGTTTTCTACACAACTTATAGAAAATAATACTTTTATTGAAAAAGAAGTATAGTTAGGAGTTCGTATAACAAATATTCACACTTCTGGAAAATCTCTTATTTTTTACGATGTTTAACAAGAAGGGGTACATTTATAAATTCTCTGCAATAAGCAATTTTATGAAAAAGAATCAGATTTTAACCAAATTAATTCACTTTTCAAAACAGAAGATATTATAGGAGTTACAGGAAGACCCCACAGAAATAAAAATGGAAAACTTTCAATTTTTGTAAATAAAATAATTCTCCTTTCTCCCTGTCTTCATATGCTCCCTTCTTTACAGAGTGGCCTTAAAGATTAAGATACAAGATATAGGAAAAGATATTTAGACTTAATTACTAATCAAGAAATAAGAAATATATTCATTACTAGAACTAAAGTTATCTAATACTTAAGAAACTTCCTAAATAATAGAAATTATCTTGAAGTAGAAACGCCACAAATAAACATGATTCCAGCAGGAGAGGCTACATGTAAATATAAATAAATAAAAATAATTATATTAAATTTAAATATAAAGCTCGACAATTTATAACTCATCATAATGATTTAGGTTGACATGTATATGAGACTTACTCCTGAATTTTATTTAAAAACACTATTAGTAGGAGGTATTGAACGAGTATATGAAATAGGAAAAAGTTTCCGAAATGAATCTATAGATAGAACCCATAATCCAGAATAAACTTCATGTGAATTGTATCAAGCATATGCAGATTATGAATATATGATAGAAATTGTCGAAACTTTCCTTTCTGGATTAGTAAAGGAAATAACAGGTTCTTATAAAATTAATTTTCATCCATAAGAGAAAAATTATAAAACTGAAAATTTCTACGAAATAGACTTTACTCCTCCTTTTAAAAGACTTCCAATTATGCCAGCTTTAAGTGAAAAATTAGGTGCAATAAAATTTCCTGAAAATCTTGAAAGTAAAGAAGCTTTAGTGTTTTTTGATAATTTAGCTAAAAAACATAATTTAGAATGTTCTGTTCTTAACCTCTTACTATTTAAAAGATTATTGATAAACTCGTAAATAATTTTATAGAAGTAGATTGCAGAAATCCCACATTTATTACTGATTACCCTAATTTTATGTCTCCTTTGGCTAAATATCATAGAAATAAACCTTCTGTTAATGAAAAATTTTAACTTTTTGCCAATTTTTATTAGCTTTGTAATGGATTTACTGAAATCAATAATCCTTTTGTCTAAAGAAAAAACATGTTATAATAAATTAGTGATAAAAATAAAAGAGATAATAAAGCTATACTATATGATAAGGAGTTTTGTGAATGTTTGGAACATGGATTATGTCCTGCGGCTGGGTGTAGATTTGAAATTGATAGGATTATTATGCTTTTAACTGATAATATTAATATTTAAGAAGTTTTGCTTTTTCCAGCTATAAAACCTATTATTTGATTATAAGCGACTTTTTAATTTTATTTTATTTTAATTTATTTTATTTGACTTTATTTTATTTGATTACATATTTAAATAACTGATTTATATATTTACTTTTAATAGAAAAAAAGAAAGAAAGAAATATATAATATTAAGTTTTTATTATTTATTTTAAAAATTTTAATAATTTATTTTGAAAAAGATAAATTAATTAATTAAAAAAAATTTTATATATGTGCAATATATAATAAAAAAAACATAAATTTAAAATAAATATAAAAAACTATTTTCATTTAAAAATTATTTGTAATAATTAATTAAAGAAATAAAAATATTTTTGATAAATAAATTATTTAAGTATAAAATTACTTTTTTTTATCGAAACGTTTAATATATATATTATGTTAAATATTAAAAAAAAAAAACTTTTTAATGAATATAAAATATAATTAATATAAAAATAAAATATTATAAATTTTTAAAATAAACTTAAGTTTATATATTTTTGATTATAATATATAAATTATATAGATTTTAAAAAAATAACTTAATTTTGATTACATCGAAAAAATAAAAAAAAATATTAAATAATTTTTTTTTTATATTTATTATTATTAAAAATTTGTATTTTTTATTTTTAACCTAACAAAAAAAAATAGAAAATATTATTTAAAAATAAAAGCAAATTATTTATTGCCTTTAACTAGATTATAATAGATAAAAATAAACATATATAATTTTTTTTATTTTTATGATTTAATTTTAAAAAAACTGAATAGCAATTAAGTATTGAATTAAAAAATATTTTTCCCTAAAAAATGTAATCAAAATACATTAAAAAAAAAAAAAAATCAAAATTAAAAAAAAAAATCAAAATTAAAATTAAAAAAAAAAATGAATTTCTATAAACTCTAATCTACAATAAAAAATAACCAAAAAAACTTAAATTTAGAATATGTAAATAACATAAATATAATACTAGATAATAGTAAAAACTACTCAAATATACTACAAATTGATATCTTTTAGCAAACTTCTACTCCATAAATATCTAGAAGAAATGCATTTCTTTATCGAATATATAAATCTACAGGATTCGGTCTATTAACCGCCTTAAAAACCTCCAGTATTGCCATAAAAAAAGTTTTAGTCCTCTCGAATCTTATATTGTGTGGATTCGGTGGAATTACAGTATGTTTAAGAAGTATTTGAGCCCTTAAATAATAAAAACACAAACATAGTTTATTATATAATAATAATAAAGAGGCGAAATTTATCATATTTCCAAAAATACTCTTCCAATAATATTTTCCAATACACTTAATATGAGTAGTTTTGGACTTTATTCATCGATATTTTTTGTTTTGAATTCCTGAAGTTTTACCTATATCAATCACTATAAGTACTTATATTTTTGGGATTATAAATTTATTAGCTTTTTTTAAAAATAAAAATAAAAATATGAACACTTAAAAAGTACTTTAAGCCAGTGTTTGTGGTCTAATAGGAGTAGTATGTATTGAAGTTTTAAGCTAAACTACTATTGGTTATAATTTTTTTTAATCTTTTGAAATTTTAGAGTGAGTTATTGCGTATATGAGGGATTTTGGTAGTATTTTGTGAATATTAAACATATAAAAATTTAAATTTTATGAAAAAGGAAATACAGATCATTTAGGAGTAGTTGTATATTTTAGTTTTGATATATGGAATTAGATAATTTAATTTTTTTAGAAATTTTTAAATGATTGAAATTTATTTTTTTTTTGAAAATTTATTATAAATTAATTTTTTAATTGGTTTTTTATTTTAATAAAAAAAATAATATATAAAATAAAAATTTTAAAAAAAATATTAATAAAGAAAAAAGATTATAAATTTAATTTGTTTTGGTTTTGTTTTTTTAGTTTTTTTTTTTATATAAAGAAAAAAAAAAAATAACTCAAGAAGTAACATATTTTAAAAAATGCTAAAATCAAACATATTAAAAGACTTTGAAAAAATAAACACTAAATTTTTAAAAAAATATTCACTCGCATTCACATCCTTACAAATAGAAGAAGAATATTAAAAACTTCAATCATTCTACCATATAGAATAATTAAAATATTTCTTACAAATTCAAATGATATCATATCTAATTATATCTATAATAGTAATTTCTTTTTTCTAAAAATAAATAATAATATCTTACATTCTTTTTGGAAATATAATAATTCTTTTATTTTTGTATAAAAAACTCAATACGTAATTTAAAATCACAACAATATGCATAGACTTAATAAACTGTATAAGCCTGATACTTTTCGTAGAATATTATTACTTAAGTTCATTATATAATAAATTTGATGACACTATAGAATTTGCGATTGTTTATGTAACTTTTCTAAATATTATATTATCTCATATAAACAAATGGCATCTTAAAGTGTTCTTATTCATAATAATGATCTTTTATTTGGAATTTAGAGGCGAAAAAATCAAACCAAGACTTATTTTGATTTTTTGCATTTTTCAATACATTGGAAGATAATATTTAGATGAAAAGCAAATTAGGATTAAATTTTATGTTTTATTAAAAGAACATAAAATAAATCAAGATTTTAGAGTTTTATTAAAAAACATTATGCCTTGTGGACTTTTTATATGTACAAAAAACGAAAATAAAGAAACTAAAGAATAAAACCTTTAAATTAAATTTGCAAATAAAAAATGTTTGGAAGATTTGGATGCTGAAAATGCCGAATAAATTAATTAAAAATTAAAATTTTTTAATAATATTAAGTAATTAAAAGAAAATCATCATATTAATATAATTTCTAAATAAAAAATTAATTCCACTTAATTAACTTCTAAATCAAAGTCATTCTATTATATTGATTTTAAAGCTAAAAAAAATTAAAATAATCTTCAATAAATTATTTTAAATAAATTTAATAATTATGAATTCTATGAAAATATTAACTAAATTAATTATATAGAAACATATTTAAACATTACTTTTGAAAATAATTTTAATAATAAAAGGTATATTTATTTAAAGAATAAATAAAAATATATTTTACTTTAGATAAAAAAATAAAAAATAATTTTTTTTAAAAAAAAAATATATATTATTTAAAAAAAAAAAGTTATTTTGATATAAATATAGTAAATTGTTAATGGAATAATAGTAATGCGATATTATGTATATTAAATAATATAAGCTAAACAGTAATAAATTAAAGACAGCAAATAATAGAAGAATATAAGAACTAAACATTATCTACAATAACTCACAATTTAAAAACACCATTAAATGGAATAATATTATTGCTTTAATGCATTTTCTAATAAGAATAACGCTTGCCTGACGATATAAATAATTTACTACATAATATAAATATAAATAGTGAACTTTTACTTGCGATGATAAATGATATTTTGGATTATTCTAAAATATAAAAAGGAGATTTTTAACTTTTTATAAAACAATTTAAAATAACAAAATTATTAAAGGAAATAACAAGATTATTTTAAACTTCAACATAAAAAAAAAAATTGAAACTAATAATAATAGATATAAATAACTTAAATAATATCAATTTTAATACTGATTATTAAAGATTAAAACAAATAATGATAAATTTGGTAGGAAATGCATTAAAGTTTACCCTAGAAGGATATATAAAAATAGTTATACAACAATCACATGTAGACTAAAATATAGTCGAAGTAAATGTCATTGATACGGGAGTAGGAATTCCTTACGATATTTAATATAATATAATATAATTAGGTTAAGATATTACAAATTAATTTAAATTAAACAAAAAGCATGGTAAAAAATAAAAATATACCAACAAAATATAAATAATAATATAAATATAAAAGGAGCAGGTATAGGACTTAATATTTGTTAATGCTTAATATTTAAAATAGGCCCTTATCCGAAATTATTCATATAATCGACTGAGAATTAAGGGACTAAAATATCCTTTTATATATATAAAAACATATACAGAAAAAGATAAACGAATTATTAATTTAACTTAAATGCTATTTAATAATAAATAAGATTTCGTTTTAGCTCTTTAATAAATAACAATAAATGTTTTAACTCTTAATTTCCCATGAATACTACGAGAGAAATTAATACACTAAAAGACACAAAAAATAAAAATATCCAACGCATATCTTAAAGTCTTTAATTTAGTAAATAAAACCTAAAATAGTAACTTTAATCTGAAAAAGAAAAATTTATAAATATTACAAAACACAAAGAACCTTAAAATATTAATTAATAAAACTAAAAAATATATGAAAAAAATTAAAAATAAATATATTATTAAAATCAGAAAATATACTAAGAAAATCAAAAATCATATAAAAGTACAGACATATTATAAAGCTTTAATAGTCAAGAATCCTAATAAATTTCGGAATTAAATTATATTGAAAAACAAAATAGTTCATCTCCAAGAAACTTAAATTATTATAAATTTATATTAGATGTGGAAAAATAAAATAAGGATATCATATTTGAAAATAATGAGCAATAACCATTAAAAATAATAAAAGGAGAAATAAAATAAAAAAACTATAATGTAATTTTACAAAAACTACTCGAAAATAAAAAAATATTAATCGTAGATGATATATTTTTTAATATTTTAGCCTTAAAATTATTAATATCAAAAGCAACAAATAATAATATATAAATTGATGAGGCATATAATGGATAATAAGCTATTGAAAAAGTCAAAAATAATAATTATGATATTATTTTTATGGATGTTAATATGCCTGTAATGGATGGTCTATAAGCAACTAAAGAAATTAAAAAAATAAACAAATAAAATAAAGTTATTATTGTAACAGCTTTTTCAGATTAATCTGATAAATAAGATTGTCTAAATACTGGATGTGATGGATTTGTAACAAAACCTATTATTATATAAGAACTTATATAATAAATTGCATGCATATATAATATATAAATTAAATGAAAGTTATAATTGTCATTAAATATTTATGTTTTTAGATTTTTAAACAAAATAAACATTTATTTTATAAAAAAAAATTGTAAATTTAAAAACTTAATAAAAATTAGAAATTAAAATAAAAAAATTAATATAAATTAAAATATTTAAAAAAAAAATATTATTTTAATATTAAAAAAAAACATATATAATGCAAAATAATAATAATAATAAAAAAAAAAAATATATAAATAATATAAATATTGTTATTAAATAATTTTTAATAATATATATAAATATATTTATATATATATATACATATATATATATTTATAATTAAAAAGTTTTATATTTAATTAAATATATTTTTAAATTGTTATTTTATATTTATAATAATCCATTTATTTTATTACAATTAATATAATTTTATTATATTTTTTTATTTACTTTGATATACAATTATAAAATAATTATTTTTTTTTATTAAAAATTTATAAATTATAAATTCTTATTAATAATAATAACAATTTAATATTTTTATTTTAAAATTTACTATATTATTTTATTTATAATTTTTATAAAAATACAATTTATTTTTATTAATTTATATATTTTTTATAATATAAAATAAATGTTTTTTATTTATAATAATTGATTCTTTTAATAAAATATGAGTTATTAATTTTTTATTATTTTTGCATAAATTAATCAAATAAATCGTAATTATTTTAATTTTATTTTTAAATTATATATTTTATATATTATAAATTAAATTTAATTTTAATATATAATTAATAATTTATATTCTTTTTTCTATCTATAATTATATAAATTTTTTATAGATTTTACTTCAATTTAATGTAATTATAAAATATGTATCTTAATATTTATAAATCAATTTTTTTTACTATTAATATATTTATTTATTTATTATAAATTATTTTGATAGTTTTTAAGAAAATATATATATATATATAAAATATTTTAAGTAGAAATTATTCTTTTGTTATTGTTAAATAAAATTAATTCATATTTTTAATTTATACATTTATAAATTTTTATATAATATTTAACACCTTAAAATTTGCATATGATGTTTTATTATAGGGCAAAACTTATTTTATAATTATAAATTCTATTAAATATTTATAATTTTATTATTTACTAAAACAATAATTTTGTTTTACTAAATTAAATATTAGTTTTAATTAATTTTTTATATAAATAAAATTTTTATTATAATTAATTTAATATGTTTATTTTTTATCTATTTTTTCTTATTTTTTTATTTTAGATATAACTTAATTGAATTAAAAAAAGAGAAATTATTTTTATAATACAGTTTATATTTTAATAAATTAAATTTATGATAAAAGTTAAATTTGTTTTATAATTACAATTTTATAAAGATTTTTTTTTTCTTCCTTTACTTCTTTTATAAATTAAATTATTTAATGTTTCAAATACATTTTTAATTAAAATATACGTTTTTAAAAATTTTTTTTAACAAAATTAATAAAATAGAAAAAGATTGAGAAAAAAATTTTTATAAAATCTTTAAAAAAAATAAATAAAAAATTTAACAAAAAAAAATATTTATTCCTATTAAAAATAGTGTTTAATTAAATGTAAAAATAAAAATAAAAAGGAAAAGGTAAAAATCAAAAACACTAAAAAAATAAAAAATCTTAAATTAATAAAATAAATAAAATAAAGGTCCATGGACTTAAGAAGAAGATAATTTATTGAAAAATTGGATATCAATACATGGTGCATAAAAATGGTCTTTATGTTCTGAAACAATAAAAGGTCGTAGTGGAAAACAATGTAGAGAGAGATGGTTTAATAATTTAAGCCCAGATGTAAAAAGAGGGTTATGGAGTCCAGAAGAAGATGATATTATTTTTCGAGGATATTTAACAAACGGATCATGTTGGAGTAATATAGCAAAATAATTATAAGGTATTTTCAATTTTTTTTTTTTTTAAAAAAATACATAAAAATAATTAAATTTAACATTATTATATTTTAAATTACTGTATTTATTTAAAAAAACTTTATTGAAAAAAAAAAATCATAAAATAGATTTTAAATTTTTTTTATATAATAGTTAGTAATTAAACAAACAAAAAACTTACAATAAATATATAAAAAACAATCCAAATAAAACATACTAAAATTAATATATATGTATAAATATTTGTATATATATACATATATATATATATATATATATATGTATTTAATTTTTTATATAAAGGAAGGACTGAAAATTCTGTTAAAAATAGATTTTATAGCACTGTTAGGAAATTATTAAGTGACTCAGATAAAAATCTAATAAATAAAATGACTTAAAATTAATTGAAATTAATTATAGAAAACAAATTAAATAATAACAAACTGTATTTTTTTATTTTTTTGTTTAAATAATAAATAATCATAAAAAAAGAGAAAATTTATAAATTGAAAGTACAACTCAAGAAATTAAAATTAGTTAATTAGCCTTAAACACTTAAAAAAGAAAATATATACGAAAAAAATAATAAAATGAATATTCATAATCTAATTTATTATATAGGCTTTTAAGAAATAATGATGTCGAGATTAAAAGTACGAAATGTTTATAAGATTATTCTTTGTTTTATAAAAAATATAAAAAACTTAAAATGCTTTAATAAAAATAGTAATAAATATAAGAATCTAAAGATGATTAATAAATTAAATTTTAAGACTGTGATAATAATAATACATAGGAAAAAGAAAATTAAATAGATACATTAAATGTTAAAATAAATGCAAATATTTAAGAATAATAAAAATAATTATTTGAAAAAAAAAGAAAAAATTATAAAAAAAAATCATTTTTAATCCAGATTAAGCAAATTTGGAATTCGAATTTCCCTTTATAAATGAATAGGAAATTTATAGTTCCGAAAAATAATATTAATCATAATTATAAAAAAAAATTGTGAAATATTTTAAAAAAAATATGAATTAGTTTTTTATTTAATTCTTAAATGAAAAAAAAAAGATGTAAAATAAAAATATATATTTTATTTAAAAAATTATTATTCATAAAAAGTAAAATGAATAAAATACAAATAAAAATACTTTAAATAACCCAGAAATCTAAAATAAAAAAGATTCTATAAATAAATAAGAAATTTAAAATATATAAGATTTTTTTAATAGTAAAGAAATTTAAAATATAGAAGAAATATTAATAAATTAATAAATCTTTGACAATGAAGATGTTTCTAATATATAAAAAATTTTAAATTAAAATGAACTTTTGAATAATAAGTAAGAAATACTTTTAAATAAGCAATAAAATTCTAATAAAAATTAATAAATTATTAATAATAAGCAAAATAGTTAAAATGATAATAAATAAAATGCTTTAAATAATAAATATGAAAATATAAATAATTAAGATTCGTATAAAATTCAAAAATTAGAATAAGATTATACTTAATAATAATAATCAATAAATTCTTAATAATAATTATTAATAAATAATAATTTATCTTAGGATGAATTAAAAGAAAATAGCCAAAATTTATAGTTAAATAATAATTTAAATTAATAATAAAACATAAATAATTAAGGTTATTAATAATTAAATTCAATATAATTACAAAAAATAATTAATGATTAAAATCAAATATATAATTTTGAAGGAGAAAATTAAAAAATGAGTTTTTTAATTAATTAATTATGCACTCTTGAATTTATGCTATCCCAAACCAAATCAGAACTCGATAATTTGACGTCTTAATTAAATTCTAATTAAGATAATTCTTAAGTACATTAAAATAATTAAGGCCAATAATAAGATTCTAATTATGAATGGATATTGTAAAACTAAAATAATGCATAATTTAATAACTTTAATTTTATATAAAATGATCATTTTAATTGATAAATTAATATTTTATTTTTTTATGTTTATTTATTACTTTATTTTTTAATAATATTTATAATAAATAATAGTTTATTATTTTTATATTTTAAATAAAAAAAAAAAAGATTAATTTTTAAAAATTAAAAAAAAACAAAAAAATTAATACCAAAAATATAAATTAAAGTTTTTCATAAAATTATTTCATAATATAAATAATTGATTTATTTCTTGTTTTTATTTTATATTATTAAATGATTACTTATTAATTTATAAAAATTCTAATATATTTAAATAAAAAATAGTTCGTATTTAATATGTATTAATTCTTTTTTTATAATCACTTTTTATAATTTACAGAAACCCAATGTTGTAATGGCAATGTCATTCTTGTTCTATTTTTTTATTTAAAATAAAAAAATAATTTATATATATGTATTATGTATTATTCTACATTTGATCTTCAGTAGTATTTTCAGCTTTTTTTGTTAAAAAAATAATAATAATAATAAAAAAAATATTTTAAATATATTCGAAAAATAATACTTTCTTCTAAGTCTAATATATATCCAAGTTCATATATATTTTCGCAAAATATTAAATTAATATTATTCATAATACAATTTTTTTTAAAAGTAATTTCATTATTGGCATATTTATTTCTATTTTTTATAATTATTAAAAATAATTATATGTATATATATTAAAAAATATATATTTTTTACTCCAAATAATTTGAAAAACTATATGAAGGTAGAAACGAAAACTTCTTAAATTTAAAACTATCAAAAGTTTTATTGAATGCGCAATTTTTCTAAAATTTTGAACATTACCTATTATGTTTTTTTATTTATTTATTTTTATTAATTTTTTACTTCGCAAATTTAAAAAATTAGCTATTCATTTTTTTTAAAAGATATTTTAATTTTATTTATAAATATATTTAATATAATATAAAATAATAAAAAATAGAATCTTTTTGTTTTTTTTTTTTTCAAAATAATTATAAAAAAACAAAAATTATTTAATATTTTTTTAAAATATAAAATTTATACAAAAATACATTTATACTTTTTATTATATATATAAATTATTAAATATAAAAAAATAATTTAAAAAATTAGAATATTCTTTTTTTTTAAAAAAAAATAAATGATCAAAAATTCACATATTTTCGATAAATAAATTATAACGATTTTTTATAATCATTAATTTACATAACTTTCTCATAATTTATTATAAAAAAATAAATTATAATTTTATTTATTATATCAGTTTATTAAAATAAAAAACCATCTAACGGATATATATCAGCTTTATTATATTAATATAAACTTAAATAAAACTAATAAAAAATAAACAAAATTTAATCTTAAAAGAATATATATGGCAAACAATTTTCCTAATTTTTTTTGTCATTTTAAAACTCAAATATTATATTTATTCTTAAACTTTTGACTTAGTATTTTTATATAAATTAATTTAATTTTTTTATCATTAATTAAGAAAATATCCGGAATATTTATTTTTTTTCCAAAAGAATCATCTATAAATATTTAAATCCATTAATATATATATATTAACTAGAATCTTATCATAAAAGTATTTAAGACACAATCAAATTAATCCCTTATATATATTAAATTTTAGTACCATAATTCGCAAAAGCCATTAAAATATTAAAAAACATTTTTTATAATCAAGTTTTTATATTTTTATCTTCATTTTTTCATTCTTTAAGTATTTATAATCTTAAAAAATACGAGAAATTTCTATATATATATTATAATCTTATTAAGTTTAAAATTATTTCAGTTTATTATATAGATTTGTATTATGTAGTTTTTAAAATTGGCTTACTATTGAAATAAAAATTACATTTTTGGGCATATTTTGATAAATGTTTTTTTTAATTAAAAGACGTTTTATTTTTATAATTTTTAGCGTTTTTTTGATAAATATATTATTTATTTTTTACATTTATATGTATATTATATTGTATAATATAGTAATTTTCCTTAGTTTCTTTAATTTAATTTATACATTTACATTTAAATTTTATTATTATATTAAAATTAATATTGTATTTTAGTTTTTAATATATTTATATGATTTTTTATTAAATAAATATTTGTTTTTTATTAATATAATAGAAATTTTAAATAGTTATATTTAAATTAAATAATTATATTAAAATCTGTTTATTATTTATAAAATATATATATTGTTTTTTTTAATATTTCTTTTTTAGTAATTTATAAAAATATTTTATTAAGAAACTTAATTAAGAAAATAAAATAAAATTTTTTATATATATTTTTTTTTATATATAATATATCTTTTTTATGAGGATAAATATATTTTATGTTTAAAATTATTTTATATTATATATATTTTTTTTATTGATATATTATATATATTATTTAATTAATTTAACTTTTTTTATATTTATTTTGCAAAAAAAAAAGCAAAAATAATTTATTTTTTAAATAAAAATATATAAATATCTTATTGCTGCCTGTATCTCCTGGTAAATCTTTAATGTTTTATCGGGTCGTAAGGTTGCTAAAGTAAATAATTTGCAAATTTTTTTATAAATAATTAATTGATTTATTTCAATAAAATCATTAATTTAAAAAAATATTTGCAAAACAATAAATTTTAAATTAATTCATAATAATTATATAATTAAAAAACATTTTTTCATATTTAATAAAATTTTTAAAATATATGATAAAAATAAATGTTTTTATAAATTAAAAAAATTATTATATATAATTTTTATATATAAAAAATAATATATATATACATAAACATTATGTAAATATAAAAAATTATATACATATAATCAATCTTTAAATATTATTCTTTATAATAGATTTTTTACTTAATATATTAATATTAAAATATTAAACTTCTAATTATCATAAGCATTTATAAAATTTTGAAAATGTTTTTACATTTATAACTATTTATATCTTTATATAGAAAAAAATAAAATATATAAATATATTAAAATAAATGTTATATTTGGATATTTTATTTTTATTTTTTTTATTTAAAAAAAAATTACTTTAATATTAATGAACGATTTTGCTATTAATCATTTTTCTTAATTTAAATAATAAACATTTTATCATATAAATATTAAACATAGCTCTTAAATCAGAAAATAAAATGATTCATTTTTAAAAAAATAAATCAAGTATAAAAATATAATAATATAATTATATAAATATATACAATATGTTATGGAATAACTCGATATAATATATAATTTAATTTATAATATTAAGTTAAAAACAAAAATTAAATTATATTTTAAGAAAAGAAAACAAACATACTTAATTTATCTTGTGAATATAAAAAAATAAAGAAAAAAACATTATAAAATAATAATAAAATTGAAAATTCAATAAATAATATAAAGAGTAGTACGATTATATATATAATATATAAAATATATATAAAAAAATATATTATAATTAATTACATAAACATATACATATACATATATAATATATATTTTCTTCTTTTTTTCTTTCTTTTAATTTTTAATATTTTTTTTTTTAAATTAAAAATAAAAATTGTCGTATATAAAAAAATATATATTTAAATTATAAATATTTATTATTTATGATATTTTTTTTATTAGAATATAATTATTTCAATATTTGTTTTCTTATAAATCATTTATATTTTTTAAAACTATTTCTTTTATATTGATAATTTTAAATTACGTATCAATAAATATTTTATTGTAATAAAAATATTTTATTAAAAAAATAAAAAAAAATTAACTTTAAATTTTATAATAAAATTGATTATTATTTAAAGAAGTTTGCTTATATGTATTATGTAATTTTATATAATTATACAAATATAATAGGATTTTTTTTATTTACAAAAATTAAAAAAATATTTGTATATAAAATAATAATATTAAATATTTATAAATATTTATATTTAAAAATTTTATTTATAATTTAAATAATATAACAAATATTAAGAA